TTTATTATTTTTTTTTATTTACAACATAAGTTATTCTCAAATAACAGAAGGATTTGACAGTGTTCAGTTTGTTATATATTAGATTCAAAATGACATATTTTTTAAAAAAAGCTCAGTATACAAGGAAAATCCCAACAGAATTTGCAAAGCTACTGTATTTCACAAATATGGGAGCTAAGGTTGTAATGAATCATATAGGAAATTTCTCATTACAAGTAAAAGAAAATCTATACAAATGGTTTAGGGTTTTAATCACAAATCTAAATATTTTTTCTTTAAATAGACTCTTAAAATAGATGCATTATTTTAAAAAAACCATCACTACAAAGAGGCACATGGTGTTTAGTTGATGGCATTAATTCTGCAACCCAAACAAGGAGACTAATCCACTTTGAGTAGCTAAATTATTTTTTTGCACTATTTACATACTTTACTGAAGTATTTTCCTCCCAGAGTCTGAGCAAGCATCTTAGAATATTAATGAGGGAAGCCTGGCAGCACTCCAGAGTTAGCAAATAAGAAAGTAACATCATTCCTATTTTATCAACAGGGAAACTGAGGCACCAGGCATATTGAGATCCAGGCAACTGCAGAAATTAAAATCATGAATCTTGATCCTGTTTGCCAGGTCTTGATGGAGAGACTGTTCTTCCTCCTTGTTAGAGGGTTGGTGACCGTGCTGACCATTGTTTCAAACCTGGTCAGTTGTTCTTTTTCATGTTTAGATTGCTGAAAAATAGGTGATAGCTATCCAGCTGTAGTGTCATCATGAACATCTTTACTCAAAAAAAAGTCACTAACAGTTTTCCTTTTCAGATCAGAAACCAGCCACAGCAAAACGTGCTTCAATCCATCCATCAAAAAGATCTTCAGTCCCTCCAAAGCCTTTGGAAGGCTGTCTTGTTCTACCCAAAATACTGCAATTGTTCCCTCAATCTGTGCAAAAACAAATACTGAAAACCTGTAACTCTGAAAGACAGAACTGCATTATTTATTTAAAAAACAAAAAAAGTTGAATTTTTGGGCATTGTGAACGTTCCTTTGTCAATCGAGTATTTGAAAGAAGTTAATTAAGAGATTCTCAGCCAGGACGCCACCTTTAGAAACCAACATGAAATGTTTCACATGGTGCATAATCCTAAGTATTTTACCTCCTGTGACAGCAAAATATCATAGCACATCAATATTAAAGGTTACTTGAAAAGACCTTTAAAAATAACTTGTTTGCTGAGTAACTAAAGGAATTAAAAACTTGTTTTAGATTTGAGATTACGTGAATTTGCAAGTTAAGGAAAATCTAAAAAGGCAGAACTTGAACTTGGGATAGAAGTGTCCAGCAATTTTTAAGGCCGTTATGGAGTGTGCATAACTTACTCACAGGCATCTTACTGTTTACATTTTGGCAAATACACCATCTTAATGTGGGAATAAAAAGTCCTGGACCACTGCAGTCTCATAGTAGCTAGGAGCAGGCCAGGCAGCAGGGCACAGGACAGCACAGGTGACCCAGCACCCTGGGCAGGACATACCCAGCGTTGTTCACGGTGCCCCAGTGCAAGATTCTGGCCAGTGCCAATTGCATGAAGTTGTCTGACTCCAGAAGCAGTGCCCCCAACTCAGCATTAGAAAGAAACATTACACACACTACAGCACCATTAGCAGCATCATAAAATAAGCAAATAGGGCCTCACTTTCTTTGGGGAGGTAGATGGACATAAATGTGCTTCTTCTGCGGTTCCTGGGTGAATCTCCACCCCGGCATCTGGGCTGGCTGACAAACCTGTCTCCTTAGGGGCCTGACCCAAAAGTGGCAATCCACCCTCTGCAGTGCAAGCACAAATACTGCACAGTAATTTAAGCAGCTTTTCTTGTTTTCAGCCCCAAAACACTTCTGGAATCTTCCCCATTTCTTCTCCTTGATTACTGATGGTACCTACCAGTGACTCCTAACAGGTGGCTTCCTTGCTGGCCAAGGAAAGACTGCACTGTGGTTTTATTTAGCAATATGCCCTAGAAGCAGCACTGGCTCTGGAGGCTTTTGGGAACTTTCCTCCTGTGGTTCGATGGAGCTCACCTATATCCTCAGAGGCTTTCAATGATACATCCATTTAGGAGCTTCCAAAAACCTGGGGCATCCGAGTTTGGGGTGTGCACTCAGATTGCAGAAAAGCCTCAAATAACAACTGGCAAAGCAGCAACAGTTTGAACACAAACAGGGATTCCCTGGTTAAAGGAGGTCAGTCATCACCCACACAGACTGTGGAAAAACACTTCCCTGTCCCAAAACAGTCTCTCTGGGAATGCAGAACCTGCCAGGACCTCTTCTCTCACACATCCCAAACATCCCACCTGTGTTCTGCAAGATTATGCACTTCCCCTGTACCACATGACAGAGGAGGACATACAAGCGAAACATGTAAACAGTTTTTAAAAGAATATAAATAAATATCCAGCTGCAAAGTGCTTTAGGGTATTTACCACCATCTCCCATTTTCCCACAACACATTCTGGTTCAGAGAAGGCAGGAGGCATTTGAATGCTACTGGAAAAAAGTCAAGGCTGAAGCTTCAGGTAAGTTATCAGCACAGACCCAGGCTGATAAGTACAGACTGCCATGTATAAATATAGAAGCACACACACTTAAATTATATATATTAGTTTCATCTAGATTTATATATACACATATAAATTAAATATACATATGTGTTTGTATATACAGACACACATGCATGAATCTCAATAGTCCCTCTGTTGAGAAACTTAATCCAAATCTCTGAAAACATGCACCAATTATTTGTATATTTTCAAGTATAAGTAACATATTCTCTTTCATAAAGTTTTCATAAATATGCATTAAAATTCTCTGTGGTAGTCACTCTTGTGGGAATAATAACATAATTGCATGAGTTGCAAACTATAAATATAGGCTTTAAACATTATTTGAAGAACAGGTATAGCCAGTATAAGTAAATGCCAGGACCAACAGAAGGGATCAGAACAGAAAACCAGACTTGAGTATGTGGCTCCATAAGACAGGCAAGTGCACAGGACCTCTCCAGCCCTCCCTGCTGCCCAGAAGGTCCTTTTAAAAGCTTTCTGTAATTGTGGTGGAGGCTACAACTGAAACAATTTCATCAGGCTTAACAAAGGCAACAAAAAATGTTTGGTAACAGATAGAAAAAGGTCATGTTGCAAAATCCAAGAAAACCCCTCAGCTTTGGGGGCAGTGTGTTACATATCTCCTCCCTAAGAAATGAAGGCAATCTTTTCGGTCCATCTACATGTTTTTTCCTACTCAAAATTTATAAATACGCTCTTAAAATGACTGCTTATAAAAATACACTATAAGTGAATACACACAATGTCATGTTTTGTTTCAGTGAGATTAAAATCAAGAATGGCACCATTGCATTTTTAACTAAAATATAAAATTTTCAACTACAAGCACGAGGGTGGATGATGTGTCTTGAGGTATCAGTTACTATCCCACCTTTTCCATAAAACACATTCCTATTGTAATATGATGAATTGCTTCAGTAGTACTGTGTACTACTCTCTCCAGATCAGGGCAGGTGTATTAGCAGCAGTGGAAGGTTTGGTATAGATGAAGCCTGAGAAAATTCAGGGTGCAGATATGTCACTGGTGTAGAGGCAGCATATCCAGACTTGCAAGAACCCCAAAATTTAGAAAGAGTATTAACTGGCATTTATGTTACAGCATACCCTGTCTTATCATAGTCTCTTTTCCCATCAATTACTTAAATCTTAATCCTGTGCAGTTTCAAGTACCTTCAAGCTCCTCCTCAGGGTTCTCTCTTGGTTCAAACCATTAGTCTTCAATGAACCACACTGAGCAACAGCCTGATTACAAAAAACTCCTAGAGCCTGAAAGCCAGCAGATGGCTAGACTCAGAAAATAGAAAAAATACCCAAAACATAACACACTACAGAGGAGTTCCAGGATTCTAGCAGGTGACTCCACCACCTTCCTGGGCATCCTGTTCTGATGCTGGACAACCCTTGCAGTGAAGAAACTCTTCATGATGTCCAACCTGAACCCTCCACTGGTGCTGCTTGAGGCTATGTCCTCTTGTCCTGTTGCCAGCTGCCTGGGAGAAGAGACCCACCCCCACCTGGCTACAACTTCCTTTCAGGCAGTTTAAAGAGTGCTAAGGTCTCCCCTGAGCCTCCTTTTCTCCAGGCTAAACACCCACAGCTCCCTCAGCCTCTTCTCATAGGACTTGTGCTGCAGACCCTTCACCAGCTTTGTTGCTCTTTGGACTCACTCCAGCACCTCAAGGACCTTCCTGTAGTGAGGGGCTCAGAACTGAACACAGGATTTGAGATGCAGCCTCACCAGTACCCAGTACAGGGGGACAATTGCTGCCCTTGTCCTGCTGGCCACACTATTCCTGAGATAGGCCAGAATGCCACTGGCCTTCTTGGCCCCCTGGGCACACTGCTGGCTCATGTTCAGCCGCTGTTGACCAGCATCCCCAGGCCCTTTTCCACTGATGAGCTTTTCAGCCACTCTTCCCTCAGCCAGTAGCACTGCAGGCAGTTGTTGAGAGCCAAGGGCAGGACCCAGCACTTAGCCTTATTGAGTCTCATACAATTGGCCTTAGCCCAGGCCTGATCCAGCCTGTCCTGTCCTGATTGCTCTGCAGAGCTTTCCCACCCTCCAGCAGATCAACACTCCCACCCAACTTGGCATCCTCTGTGAATTTAGTGAGGGTGCACTCAATCCCTTTTTCCATATCATGGATAAAGTTATTAAACAGGGCTGGCCCCAATACTGAACCCTGGGAAACTCCAGTGGTGACCAGCCACCAGCTGGATGCAACTCCATTCACCATCACTCTCCGGGCCAGGCCATCCAGCCAGGCTTGAAGAAGAGCAAATGAAGGCCAAATTTCACATGTCCACACACTGGTGGTACAAAAAAATAGCTAAGTCATTGTGTCTTAAACTTGAAAGACAATTGATGAAAGAAAACATGGTCCAGATGATAAAGTGCAATTATTATTTCAGTTGTGCTAAAAAGCTTTCCAGTGCTGTACGTTTACTTCTTGGTGATTTCATTCAACTTTTAATTATGCTTTTTGCTTCTGTCCCCATCTTTCCAGTACTGTTCAGTTTGCATCTCCGTAAGTCGCGACAGAGTACGCTGAAAGGCAAAGACTTCTTCTTCTCCTGTAAACATGGAGAGTCCTTTGGCAGAATCCTGCATAAATATACAAAAACAGTACCACAGAACTGTGAGAGACAAAGCTGTACTGAAGTGCATCCTGTATAACTCCTAAGGCTCTGTGCTTTACAGGCTTTGACAAAACAAGACAGCAGCATGGCACCAAAAAATTAAAACTAACGTCCAAAATTAAAGAACCTATTTTAGCTAGGTAATCCTCTGAAGGAACAAGGCAAAAAGAATAACTGGGTTTTAAAACAACACGATGACATGTTAACCATCTGTTTTCTCTTTTTTTTGTTGACTAATTGCACACTGATTTAAACAAATTATTTAATAATTCATTAACAATAGCTAGGCTCTAGGGAAAAAGAAAAACAGATAACCAATATGCAAATTAGTAATGTCTGTAAGGACTTGTAAGGCTGTTCTAGATAATCTAGGAAGAGGTAGAACAGACCACCTTTTATTTCTGTATTTTAAATGTAGGAGCTAAACTTAAATCAGTATTTTCATACATGACTGAACAGATACAACGATTAACATTCAAAATGACCCTAAAACTTACACAAAATGGTTCTGTATATTGTGACATTTTCTTTTACTACAAATAAATAGCACAACATGTAATTATCAGAGCAACAGATACACTGCAGAAAAAGCAGCATATCACCTGTTAAATGTTTTCTTGGTTCCTCTTCCTAAAATGCTGCTGTAATTATGAATTTATTTTGAAGCCAAATTTTGTTACAAAAGGGAGATGATGTTAATATCATGTACCTGGCTCAAGTCCAAATCATCCATCAACACTCTGTTGTCCTGTTGCTCACCGCTGCTGTGTTCCACCAGGAACAAGCTTTCGAGAGGAGTCACTGCAGAACAGATAATACGCACCTGAGAGGAGGAAAACAGGCAAAAATATCAACACTTGGGATTTACAGAAAAGGGATAAAATACATGATCTGTGGAAAGCAAACTACAAATTATGTCATTGGGGGTTTTTCCCAGGTATTTTTCCTTTCCCTTATTAGCACTGCTGTTACAGATTTACCTGACTTAGTCATTTGGAATATTAAACTTACAGGATCTTTTTCTCAGTAACAATTCATGTAACTTTTACTCAGAGAACAAACAACTGTGCTATTAAATACTCAGAATATCTGCTATAGGCAATGAGTTAATGATAAAGTTTACTTTCTACAATATAACAGCTATGTAGTAACCAATGCCTTCTTTTCACCCATAGTTAGATTCCTCCCAGTAGATAGGTGCACTGCACATGTATTTCCATTTAAAGAATGTTTAAATTCCAAATTTCCCAGAAGGCTGAGTGAAGTCTTTCTTTCTTTCATCTGTGCTATTCCAGTAAAAGTTATTTGCTAGTTACAATAATGATGCTGTTTCCATGTCTGCTGGGAGGAGATACAATGTGCAGTGAGATGTGCTATCTCGGGGGGGCTGGAAGGAAGACAGACTGAAATAGCACTACAGAAGGAGACTCTTGTTGAGAGCATGAAGGCAAAATGTTTGCATTGTGGACAGGTATCCACAAATACTCTCTCGGATATTTTTCCCAAGCAACTACTTTTGATGGGAGTTTAACACTTGTGTTTTTCCTGTGGAGGAAGTAATAGAAAGTGACTGCTTGCAATTCTTAATTACAGCACATGGATAGAGCGAACCACCCCCCTATTTCTAACACATTAGTTTAATACTAGTATATCCTCTTAGAAACTGTCCATTTCCAAATCATAAAGCATAAAGAATCTGGCTGATTTGAATAAGACTACTCATACACTGAGTTCAATATCTTGCTGAATTGGCGCCTTTCAGATCAGCAACCAATGCCAGAACATTCTTGAAAAAACCAACCTCAATCAATATTTCCTGGCCACATAAATATTTAAACGTGTGCAAATATAATAATGCATAAACCAGGGTTTAATATCTTGCATTACTTTTAAAAATATCACCTAAAACAGGAGCTTTCCTTTGTTTTAGTTGTGCTGATTTTTATTCCATGATTGAAACCTCTGTAAATCCACATAAAGTTCTGCATTTATCATTACTATTCCATGAGCGATTTTGCAACCTGGTGTAAAGCCTACAGTAACTGTTTCCTTTACACTGTAACTGTGCTATTAACTCCTCCTTCCTGATCAGGAAGGCACTGATTCCTGACCAACTGCCCATACAGATTAAAATCTAAAAAACTTAAATTGACTCCAGCACAGTTCGCAGCACAATCTTTCATTATTAAAATGACATGGCTTCTGTTGTTTTCCCAAGTTAGGAAAGAAATAACATCCCCATTCAAGAAAGGCAAATGAGCTCAGGTTTATATTTATGCTTAATACTCACAGAAAACAAAAAAACCCCACCCTGCTTTATTTGCCTTTATTGCAATGGGGCCTTTTTTTTTTTTTTTTCTGAAGCTGGAACAATGTTTCTTTGCAGTGCTAGTTCATTCTGCCTATGTTTTCCAAACCATTACTACAGAAAGCCTTACTTCAAATCAATTGTAACAGTCAGGTTTGAGGACTCCCAGTATTATTCCTATACATATAGGAAAGGTTTGGTTCTCACCTTATGCTCATAAAAGGTATCAATAAGAGTAATGAAACGACGAGCTTGTGTCCTTTTTACTATTGTAAGAAGTGGTATGTCACGAATGAACACTGTGTCAAAATGCTTTGATATTTCCAAATAGTCACTGGCTCCAAGAGGCTGAAACAAAACAAACCATAAGAAATGGAAACCCACAATAGGACACATAAACACTGTATCTTGATATACTACAATTACAGAAGAGAGCTGTAAAGTCCTGAGATCACATTCTTACTTTTGTTTCTTTGTATCTCACTTCAGGAATGCTTTCATTTGCCCTGAGGGACATAGGTACGTATGGCTGCTCATTCATACTGTTGGCTTTACATGAAGTGTTTCAGAGTTAAAAATATGGCTCTTCTGCACCCTGACAATGTTATGATCTCTCTCTGACAATCTCAAATAAACTAATCACTATAAACTGTAATCCATGGAAGAAAAGACATAGTTAAGCTGTGATTTCAACCTAAAGCATACATAATTTGAACAGGTAGTAGGATGCTTTCCAGCAGCAAGATTTTTAAATGCAAACACATAGACTAGTTACTAAATCCTAAGTAGACCTGCATTTAGTTCACCCAAGATTAACCCAGACTGAATAAAAATTGTATATTCTAAGTACCAAAAGCAAGAGGAAACAGACAAAAATACAATTTTGCAGCAGTTCCTTTGTTCGTGGTTTCTCTTGTAATGATCAAATAAAAATCTTCAATAAGAACTTATTAGTTTCTCTTTCTGTATCTAAACCATCAACAGAAGATATGTACAAATAGTAGTAGCTCATTCAGGGACATTAATTTAAAATTACTTTTTCATTTCATGATTCTGCAAGATCTATCCTATCAGTACCACAGGCAGTACTTTATCTTGAGCTGTTAAACTTTGTACTCCTGAACTCATTTCATCAGTTTTAGTTGTGTGAATACTTCAGTAGCTTGGATGCAACTACTCCAGAGACCAAGACTGGCAGCGTTTTGCATGATAACGTCATGGCTCCCTTCCCAGCTAATGAAATGTGCCGTTACCAACAGTATAAGGCACTGCAATACTGCTAACATTATAAACCAGTAAATAAAAAATATTTTCTCTAACCGAAATTGTTTGACAAATTTGCTGTAGGCCACATGTAACTTCTCTACTAGAGCCCTTCTGCAAGAAGTTATTTTCAGCAATTATTAATGGCTGTCCAACTTTAGCTTTTGTTTAGATGCTAGAATAAAAAACTTGTAGAAATGGTCTCTACAAAAGCACAAGGCAGTGAAGCCCTGATGGCATTCCAGAAATTCTTCTGAAAATTAATGGGAATAAGCTAACCCCCCAGGCAGATATTAAAGCCTCTGATGCTCAGCCAGTTCTCCCACTTGCAGTCTCATGAATCACCCTGCTTTCCCATTTCCAACCACACAACTTCACTGTAAAATCTAAGGAAAAGAATTATTACAAAAACATTCAAGTGTTTCTAACAATGTTTAAGAGCAGTACATGCTATATCCTCTCCTCAAAATTGTATTTACTGCTCGTTTTCTCCCTCCATTTCAGTCCCCCACTAAAAGCAACACCACTAGGATACTGCTGGAGATTTAAGATTAGTGGTAAGCAAGTAGTTCAGGTAACAGTAATTTTTATTCCATACTTAGGACTGGAGTATTGTTAAGTACAGAGATCAAATATGCCTGTGTATGAGTACCTGCGAGAGAGAACAGCAGTGATCTCATTGTACCTGAGAAAAGAAAGAATTTCTCATGTCTCCCTTTAGGTAAGAAATTACAGACATCACTGCTATGCTGGTTCATTCTTTTGTCACACGAAGAGCCCAAGTGCTCTTCTGCTGAAACCCAAAACCCCGTGGAATTATTCTGCCCTGCCCCAATGTGATATACCTTTCTCACCCAAACCATATGAATACACCCTCCTCATCTCAAATACAAAGTATAAAATATTGAAAGCCAATTCCTAAAATAAATAAACATATTAATAAAAATGAAGGGGTTCAACCTTTTGCAAAACAGGCAAACTTAAGTGCCCAACTGCTCAGCTATGCTTCTAAGAACTTTGTGGATATCCTTGGTGGATATCCAAACAGGAAAATGAAAAACCTGAGGAGCTGGAGGGAGGAAATAGGTGGAGGACAAAAATAAGGCTAATGCAATTCAAATGGGAAGAATGGAAGATAGAATACTTATATTGCTTTTCATACAGACATAAAATCACAGTTCATAGAAGGTTATGATATACATTTTTATCACAATCAAACAAGAATTCAACCTGCTTCAGCAGTGCAAAAAGCAAGCAATTCAAGAATTCCTCTAATTAAGGACATAAAAGGCAGATCATTTCAAGCTGTAACAAGAATTTCTGAAACACCTACCCCAGCACTAAGTGATAATATTCTGTAAGTGTTGGCAGAAACATGCCTTTAGAGACTCCAAAATCTTACGCTTAAAAAGATCTGAGCCTAGCAGCTATATGAGTATTTTGACAGAGTAAGTTTGGTACCTCCCTGCCAAGATTCAAGTCTGATGAGATGCAACTGAAATGCTGAGTCAGCTATTCTGATATTACATATGGCTCAGCTGGCATCAGCTGTAGTTCTTTACATAGACAAGTTCTCAAACTCTCTGCTTTTGGAGTTTAGAGGCATAACCCTGGGGACGAAAGACAAAGCTTTTAATCTTGTTCCCAACATGACTTACTCTAATCTTGGGAAGTCTTTTAATTTTCTTCTGCCTTACTCTACTTACCATAAAAAGAAGGAACCACCAGAAAATTTGTAAATGCTCTGGGGACAGTTTAGAGTCCTTTTCATATTCCTCTAACCTTGTTATTGGCCTAACTTCCATGCTGCCTGTAATTGCTTCAAAACTCTTCTAACTCACCAGCTAACTCAAAATGCTCCAAATTCAGGAGACCATGATGCAAAGACCCCCTGACAGCTTCTCAACTCACGTTCTCACTGTCCTGCCAGCCCCCAGAACAGGCATGATGCTGGCACAAGCATGCACATACCAACTCTGTGCCACATAGGAAAGAGAGACAGAGGAAATGGGCTCAAGACCAGATTACGCCACTGCCAGGGGTTCTGGATGTACAGTCCATATACAGAAACTCCATTGAGGAGCAGATTTCTGTTGTTTCAGCAGCCAAAAGCCCTCCCCTTTACTGTACTGCCTTCAGGCCTTTTTTCTTCACCTTGCAGCATAGGCTGGGTCCTGACTGCCAACAGCACGGGCTTAGACTAGGTGAAAAGACTAGTGGCAAATTATTTGAGACACATAGCACTATCCCCTCTATAACCCTCCAGGGCTGAAATTTATTTTATGAATTTCATCCAGTTGCAGAAAGTATATTATTTTAGTCAGTAGCATCTGAAGGTACTTCTTCCTCTGAAGTTGCTAATGAAGCCACAAATCCTCCTAATATTGATATATATATATGTAATCCTCTTACTAAAAGTTTAGCCTGATTAATCTCATCCTCTGAACAACATTCTAAAAATAACTCAATTTGGTGTATGTTTCTGGTACTGTCTGATCTCTTTTGTTTCATCAACTGTTCATCAAAACTCAAATTCAGAACAATAAAACATTTATGTAATAACTGTCACCATTTCTTACCAGTTCTTTCACATGCTACAATATTATTTTAAAAACCTGGAAACACGAACAGGTAAGAACTTTTCTTATGATATTATTGTTCCTGCATGTGTATATACAGTAAAACTGTTGTGGATTTTTGTCATTAACTCTGATGCCAGGAGTCAGTATTCTATAGGCATCGCACTAATGCAAAACACATTAGCACTATCATGGGCTGTGCGCTCCTGACAAAGTGTTTCCTCCACTTCAGCCTACTTGACTGAGTTTTCACTTTCATTTGTTTTTGTTTCTCTGTTTCCTTAATGCATTTTCAGCTGCCATCATCTCTGCTCAAGTAGGATGTTTATTATTTGGAGCCCTCTGTGGGCTGTTTTAAAAGTTAGTAGTCTCCTGTTTCTATTATGTAGTTCATTAAATTATAGCATAAAGCATCTTTCTACTTTGTTGACTCATCAGTGACACAGTATATCATCTTTCAAAGATTGTCTGAAGAATACAGAATGCTTAAGATACGTTAGAAAAAGATATTTCATCTCAAGACAAAATAGGTTTTGTTGATGTTGGAAGATATTCCAGGGCCAGTTCCAGTAACATCCTGAAGAGTTGTAATTGACAATAACTATAATTTACTGCAGACACCCTAACAACCAAAAAATTACTAAAACCAACACACAATTTAAGACCAGATAATATTTACAAATTAGACATTAAGCATAAACAAAAAACTATAGAGCTCTGTTGTTTCCAAAGGAGCCACACACAATCATTACTGAGTCTGATAAAACAGAGAAATACTACTTGGATAATATTTCAAGACCATAATTCCAAGAAAGGAACAGAAAAACCTGAGGCATGATCTGTAATGCAGCAGCATGCTGAAGTTTAAATAAAAATGGGAAGATAGAGCATGGCTAACTGGGTTAAAAAATGTAAAGATATTGATGGCAGTGCAAATCATAGAACCATAGACCAGTTTGGGTTGGAAGATACTTAAATATCATCTAGTTCAACCAGTAGAGCAAGAATCTGAGATCTGTAAACCCTGGGGTTGAAGGTATTTTCTGGATCAAGTATAGCTCCTTACTATACTTCTTACCTGGCAGAAACTAATTTTGCTTGACCTTACAGCACAAGCTTTTAGTCACATTTCTCATAGTGGAAAGTTGTTTCAGAGCTTTGCTCTTCTGATTAAGAAGATGATTGCTCCTATGTTCAGTCATCATTCAGCACAACCACTCCTGCCTTAGAAGAGCTTAGAACAGTGACAGATATCCATACTGACCCTACAAAAAGTGAGATGTCTCAAAGACCTACCTATCAGCTGCTCAAAGCTGGTTGCAAAGTGGAAGAACCACAAAAGGCATGTTTCTGCTCCCAAATTTCCACTGCCAAATTTCCAGTTCCAACTCCAAAGTATGGCATTTGTCAGTGAAATGGTCTCCAAAACAGAAGGCTTAAAAAATTCATATATCTATTTAAATATTGACACTTACTGTTAAGATTTCAAAACCATGGTCAAAAAAC